GCAGTAACTCTAACAATACGGATTACGTAAAACCGTAGGATTGCACCACCCACCCTCACATTCTCATGAGACAATGAAAGGTAAAAGGTCTCCTGAATGTGGAGCATAACGTGGTTTAGATCCACGAATTAAAGATCTTGGATGATCCTCAAATCTCGCAGCTGGTTCGCTTGAAAGAGGTCTTCCCCCCCCCCCCCCCCCCCCCCCCCCCCCTCCCTGTCTTCAATTTCACCTTTCACTATCTACCTACCACTATTTCACCTTTCACTATCTACCTACCACTTCTCCTAAGGGCCTCGTTCAACACCACTTGAAAATCCTTGAGTTTCAAGGGTGTCCTAAACGAGAAATTGAGATTAAGTTACACTTGAAACTCCAAGAAACTCCATTTATGGTTCCACGTGCACTTGAGGAAACCCTTGAACAAGCTGCACTTGAAACAGAAACCCACGGCTTGACCAATCCTGGACCAGAATGCCTGTTGGAAAAAAAGAAAAACAAAAAAAAGCCCCAGTCGAAGTGCTCTGCGGTATCCGTTTGCACTTGAACTCAAGGTACCTCATCTCGGGGAGGTACCTTGAGTTCTAGTGCGATTTTGCCCCAGCCCGACTTGAGAGCAGGAAAGTGAAAACACTACGGCAGTGTCATTTTTTTTAATTAATTAAATAGTTAATTAATTTATTTATTATTATTATTATTTTACCGTTCGGGCTGCTCCATCTATTGGTGGGGAGGGGCACCTGCTGGAAACCGGGTCCAGCGTCCCATTAATGCATCTTGTAACACTGAGATTGCTGTTTGGTGTTTCCTAAGGCTGTGGTCATTATTGTCTCATCCCGAGACTCCTTTGTCCCATGGAGCTGCTAGTGTCACCCCTCCCTTTTTTGGAGCCCATTCATCTATTAACCCAGCCCTATTTAAACAGCCCCCCTGTTTGATTATTACTATGTCTGTCCTTATAAAACCCTTTACACCCTATATCCTCTTAAAACCAGTACAAAGCACGTTCGTAGCTCAATTCGTCACACAAATCAGATTTTATGTGTTCTCCTTCCCCCATGAAGTTCCATCGGACTCCTTCATTGCCAACTTTCGACCTTAAACCCATAGGGTTTGCTGATCGTGACCGTTGTCCTCAGGTACGGCGGTGTCATTAGAGAGCGGCGGAGCGAAGAATTTTCCTTCAACCCTTGAGTTCAAGCCGTGTGGAACGAGGCCCTAAGAGCCTCGTTTGACACCACTTGAAAATACTTGAGTTTCAAGTGCACACTAAAAGAGCGGGAAATTGTGATTAATTTACACACACTAACTCAATTTATGGTTCCATGTACACTTGACGAAACCCTTGAACAGCATCGCTGCACACTTGAAACCGAACTCCACGGCTTGACCAATCCCGGACCAGGATCGCCTGTTGGAAAAAAAAAACAAAAACAAAGAAGAAGGCCCCACTTGGAGTGCTGGCGGTATCCGCTGGCACTTGAACTCAAGGTACCTCCAGGGGGCAACTTGAATTCAAGGGCAATTTTGGCTGTGTTGCCCTTGACTTTGAAGGGCACACCCTCCTGAAGCAACCAACAATCATTATATTATCATTATATTACAAAGTTGTATCCAAGGGAAGCTCCACCCGTTTTCCAGCGGGTGTTGCTCCCCACCAATAGATGGAGCCTCGCTGGTGTTGCTCGAAGTGTCTGCTCTTATCAGCACTCCTAGCATCTGCGCGGGCTGTTAGGAAAAAAAAAAAAAAAAAAAGAAGTGAAAGCGAAGAGGGTCCCTCTAAGGGGGGGCGGGTGGAACGATGATTTTTGGCTTCGCTCTTGAAACTCAAGGGGCGTGGAACGAGGCCCTAAGCCTATACAGGGGACCCTTGCAAGCATAGGCTGCATAGCCACCTCTCAGAAACAATTACAAAACGACGTTCCGCATACCGCATACTCACGGTATGTGGCGGAAATCGAGGTCATGTACAGTCACGACAATCCTAACATGATCGACCAGGTGGATGGGGCCTACTACCCGTACGCCAATGTGTCGCACCGTGGCGTGTCCAACGTGGACAGTCAGATGATCTGGATGCTCTGTTTCTTCTATTCGCATGTGCATATCTTCTTTTTTTTTTCCCCCTCCGTTTCTCTTTATCGTTCCCATGTTTTCCGTTTTCTTTTTTTTTTCTTTCAAAAGCTGCACGTACTTTCTCCACCATTGACGAAAACAACGTGGTCATGAAAAAAAAAAAAAAAAAAAAAAAAAAAAAAAAAAAAAA